CCTCGACGATTTGAGACAGAACATCAATGTGTTTCTTTGTTCTGGAGACAACATAAGACATGATGTGAAGATTATCATCATCGAGATCATCTTTGTTTACGCTTTGGCCTGAGATTGTTTCGATATCTTCGATATCATCCATGGTTCTCAAGACTTTCATGAAACCCGCGAAAGTAAGCGAGGCTGCTTCCTTGAGAGCCAAGAAAATCTCTCTCCATTCATCTTTAGTGGCGTTTCGAGCTAATCCATCAGCTAAACGAAGCAAGACAGAGATTCCAGATCCCGTTGAGCCTTGAACCGGACTCTTTATGAACCCTATGATGATTGACACAACGCTCGAAAGCTGAGATCTCACGGAACTGAAAAAGTTAACGAGTAGATCTACGAGAAGCTGCAATGCGAATGTTGATGTCTCGGAATCCCATGTGGTTTCTTCGGTGTCTAGAGAAGCCGAGGATGGAGAATCTACGCTTTCTTCGAATCGCATATCGGTTTTACTACGAATGTTGTTGAAAACAGGGAGAATGATTGAGCTGAAGATTCCGGTCCAAAAGGGTCTTGTAAATAGATGACCATGATCCATCAAAATGTTGAATAGTACTTCTATGGACCGCTTTCGAATCGCTGGTCTCGGATCTGAAGCTTGCTTAGATAAACCTGAACAAATGAAAATAGAGGGATGCAACTTAGCAAGTGTGTAGTAATTGATAAAGCATAGAAGCCGGATCTGATTACAACCTGAAAGCAGAGGAACCCAATAGGATACTTGTTCATCGAGGTCAGTAACACTCGGTGAATCAGATGAATCTTTCTTTAAAGCTGAGATATTACTGTTCTTGAGTTTTTCGTTCCATACAAGTCCTCCATCTGCGAGCTTTGAAGCGCAGAAGCGAAGAAACTCTATGGTGTTGAAACCAATGTCGCCTTCAAACTTGCTGTTTGTGAAGGTGATGAGGCATCTAATGCAGTCTGCGTATACCGAGATCTCTGTCTCGGTTATGCAATGAAAATGATCCCGCACGATTTTCTCGATAGTCTCGAAAGCTAATAGTACAATGTTCTTCCTCTCGTCGATCGCTGCAGTTGTAAAAACCTATACCAACAAAGATCATGGTTTGTAAAATAGAAAACATTCAAAGAAGAATATTGGATTGAGAAAATGTGTTTGTTACTTACTGTGAAGACACTTTTCCAACCAGATTGCACATTACTAACTCGACTTAGAACCATTTGAGAAACACATCGGACTATTAGCTCTCTAATCTCTGCGGAACTACTTTTCTGCATGACAACGACGAATGGTCGAAGAAATTCATGCTGGAAATGGTAGTTTGCTAGCTCCTCACGCTCCAAGAATTTCATAGAAAGCTGACGAAGCGAGTCCATTACAAATATTGCAACAGAGAGATTCTCTGACAAGCCGACTGATACGAAGAAATCAGACAAAACGTTCCATATGCGGGACCAAACTAATCGGATACGATTCATGTTATAATGCCTGTCACAGAGAGAAAAAAAAAGATTTGCATCAACCACTGTTAATTTGATCAGAGAGTAGCAAAGCAAGTGGACTAATTTAGTCGAGAACTTACGCTGTCTCGACTAGTTTTGTGAGGCTAAAGACACGAGGATCTGCTGGTGACTGAAGTTCTGACATGGAGACTTTGCAGAGCGCTTTAACAAAAGCAACTATAGCTTCACTATTCAACCTTTGGCTATTGGCATAGACATGGTTCAGCTCAAAGTTGCCTATTTGATCAAGTAGATTCAAATTGGCAATGAAACTCTTGATCTGATCCGGAGTAACTAGTTTGGGAACGGTTTTCACAAGCGAAGTACTATCATAAGAACCTCCTCTAACTACAGCCATCACAGATGGATTCTGAAGAGCTCCGCGTTTCTTTAAATGCGGAAAACCCAAAGCTTTCTTTTCATCTACCTCAGCTTTTGTTGTAGGGGTATAACGTGTATCTGAAGGTGATACTTCTCCCAGGAGTTGCAGATGTTCGATACGGGAAAGGCAAGTTAAAATATGTTCCCAAGATCCTTGTAGATGGTTACCGTCTTCTATGGCTATTGTTATTATCGCCTGCATACAGTGGGAACAGATTGTTAATCTAATCAATTGCTGATTTTAAAACATATATTAGCTAGGCTGTGATACAGAGCAACAGACTTACTTTTACGGCATCTACATTTTTCTGCTTCATATCTGCAGCACAATGGAGATTAGTGAATTTGGCCATGGAAGTGACAAAAGCATCTCTCTGGGTTTGCATTCCCATAACTGAAGTGACATGCACGGCATAACGAAATCCCTGTAAGCACAGAGAAGTTGCCAGTCTATCATCACTCTGGTCAAGAGTGACACTGAATGCAGCAAGCATTGGTCCCCAAGAGACCTCGAGAATGAACCTCAATATCGAGACATCTGTAACAGTATGATAAACTGACCTGCAGACCAAGAACAAAACAAATAGATTGATATTAACTCCAATTGAT